ATTTTACGTTATCCAAGCCAGAATCGATTTTAATCGATAAATCGATTATAAAAACCCACCCCTAGTGACTACACTTGTTTGACCTGATATAATTATGACAAAGAGTCTTTGTTACTCTAAGATTATAGATTTTCTAGTTATTTGTGGAAAATATTACAAATTTATTCTGCATTTGTGCAGACATGAAACGTTTATTTCTAGATTGTTAAGAGGCAATTAAACAGATCAAGTTCTGTAACAAGTTACTTTATCTACAAGTACTTAGTACAGTAAGGGAAGTGTAAAAGACTCTTAAACAGGTCGGTTCTTTTTATTAATATTATTAGAAAAAAAACAGAAAATAGTGGAGCAACATCGGTTAGCAGTAGATCGTTTTCAACTCAGAATCTTTTCTATTAACTAGAAGCTGTTGGGAATGTTGGGAATGTTATGATTTAAGTAATAATGATGGTCCTGACTCCCAGACTCTGAATCACAGCAGCTGTAAAACAGAGTGGCAGCTTCTGCTTGGGCAAATAAACTATGATTACTTTACTGCTGAGTAATAACAGGGAGAAAACGGTAGCTGGCTGCTGTGCTGAGACTTCAAGCATATACCTGAACTTACCTGGACTGTATTTACACTTCTGTGAGAGAATCCAACTCAGTGAGAGCAGGTCTCATTTAATCCAAAAACAACTGACCAAAGATGCAGCCGAGTCACATCCTGAACAATCTGCTGCCTCCTCTCTCGTTGTATGTTACTTGTGTTTGTATATATTTTGTGTTGCGAGTATTTGGATTAGTATTTATTGTATTTAATGATTATTATTGATTATTATTGACGTCTGAGGGACACTGCAAAGCCAAAGCACTAAATGCTGTGTGTTGTTCCAGGGCTCATACTGCATGCTTATCTCTGTAAAGTAAGTATAAATAAATAATTAATAATAAATAACACTAGTAGGGGTTAGTGCAGTTTGAGCCTCAGGCTGTGGGGTCTAATAAACTCACCTCTTTAGTGACTCTAAACAAAAAGGTTCATTTTATTTCTTTAGCCACAAATAACACCGATTTCAAACACTCGGCCTTACACAGCACTCAGATATGAACACATGAGGACTATTTCCATTTTAATCTGCTCTAGTTTGAATTGTGAGGCCTGATATTACAAATGGTGACTGTTATTGCATCTACAGAGTAAACAGAGCGTTTTTATAAGTGTGCATTCATCAGCGGGATTACACAAAAACCTGACCGACAAACTTGATGCAAAGTTAAGGACGCGTGACGTGTGACCAGAAGAAGTCTGGAGCAGATCAGAAGTGTGAAAATTATTTTTATGGTCTGAGCTCAAAAAACATCCTACAAGATTTTTTTTATAAGAATAAAATCCAAAAACAAAACAGCAGAGACGGCAGAGAAGTCTTTACAACACAGAGAACATCTTTAAGAATATACTGAACGCTGAGAGACGGTCTTTCTCTCGGTGTCTCAGGCAGCCTGATTTGTGAGTCTGTGCCTCTCTAAAGCCAGCAAACCACATTCTCTACCTCACACCGCCCAGTACAGCCCAGTACAGCCCAGTAAGCCAAGCTGTCCAGTGTATCAGCGTCAAGCCACAAAAGAGAGTGAGAGCAAATCATTGAGATGCTAATCTACCACAGCAGCCCATGATCTGCTTTTCAAGTGAACTTCTAAAAACGCATGTGTGGCTCTGCTGAGGCCAAAAGAGCTGGACTCCTGGCAAGCAGCTGTGATGGTGATTAATGAAAACTGTCACACACGAGTGAAAGTTTTATCCCAAGTATCCCAAAAATAAGAGGATGCTAACAAATACCAGCAGACATTACATATTAATAACAAGAATAACAGACAC